GTTCTGCCTCCACGTATGTCTGTGTGAGGGTGTCAGGTCCCCTGGAACTGGAATTACAGACAGTTGTGAGCTGCCATGTGGGTGCTGGGATTTGGATCCGGGTCCTTTGGAAGAGCAGCCAGTGCTCTTAACCGCTGAGCCATCTCTCCAGTCCCCAGCGGTATCTCAGTTTCAGCTATACTATCTGGCTGACGAGACCGTGGGATCTGACAGTCTGCACCCCTCCAGCACTGGGGTGATAGGTGGGCACCTCCACACTTGGATCTTGGATTGTTTCAGGTAATCTGACTCAAGCCCTCGTGTGTGCATCAGGCCCGTTATTTGCTGAGCCACCCCTCCAGCCTCTTCTATGTCGTATCTGAGTCACAGTCACTGGACAAGCGAGGGCCCAGGCAGGTGCCCGGCACCCGATGGAGGAAGAGATGCAGCTGCAGACTCTTGCCGGCCTGCCTCTGGTCCCCACCATGCAGCTGCAGCGGCTCCTCCTCTTGTTTGTCCTGCTTTGTCTTTTTCGAATTTGTCTCTGTAAGAAACTAATGCATATGGACTTTTAAAAATAATGATTTTAATGATATATCTATATATTTAAAATGTGGATTGGTGTTCTGCCTGCATGTGTCTGTGTGAAGGTCTCAGATCCCCTGGTACTGGAGTTGCAGGTAGTTGTGATCTGTCATGTGTGTGCTGGGAATTGAATCCGGTCCTCTGGAAGAGCAGCCAGTCCATTATCTCTCCAGCCTGGACTTTTTTTCTCATTTCTCTTTTAAGGCAATGTTGTCCTATGTAGCCCATTCTGGTTTTTAGACCTATAATCCTTTAGCCTTAGTCTCCTGAGCAGTAAGTGTGGGTACAAGTATGTGCCGCTTTGCTTGGCTACTTAGAGTCATTTCACTCTGTTAGTAAGCTCACACTGGTTCATGTACGTAAGTTGTAGGAGAGGGACCTACTTTGGGCCTGCCTAGATCCAGAGAGACCGCAGTGACCTACCCAGAAAGTTCAGCTCTTCTCTCTGCCCTTCACTTCTGCGTGGTATCTGTTCCAGTGTCACCCCCTTCCCTCTGGTGTCACTAACCTCAGGCTCACCTCCTCACAGCTCATAGGGGAACTATCTTCCTAATGCCTCTTATCTGAGTCCCAGGCTTTGCTTAGATTAGATCCACAGGCTCACTGCCCCTTGCTGTTCTGCAGACCAGCTGAGATGGTAGGGCTGTGTTTCCCAGCCTGCCGTGGGTCACAGCTCTGCCATCAGCCACCGTGGTTGGTGACGCTCAGTGACTGGCTGGCCCAGGTGCTCAGACTGAGGGACTGTGGCAGATTCTCAGTGTCAGGCACCTTACTGCAAAAAGGGACTCGAATCCCAGATGGCTAAAATCTCTCAAAACCCGTCATAAATGTCCATTTAGTTTGTCCTCGGCAGCCAGTGAGCTCTGGACCCTAGAACAGTGCTTCCGAAGGACAAGTTCTACGTGAGCCTGCCTTTGAGCTTGCTCTGTGGTTACTGGATATACATTAGCTTCAGCCCTCAATACACTGTTCAGTTGAGCTGTCTTGTGGTTCAAAGCAAGACTTTTTGAAGAAAGTGATTTACACTGCAGTGTAACCTTCCATTTTCGTGGGAGTCCCTGAGTGAACTGACATAGAGTGTACCCTCATCCAACAGGCAGCGATAGGCTGCTCAATTCAAATCTGTTAGAGCATACCCTCATCCAACAGGCAGCGATAGGCTGCTCAATTCAAATCTGTTAGAGCAAGCCCCGACCCCTGCAGCCAGTGGGAGTGGGAGGGCAGCGAGTAGGAGACGCTGTTACTGGTTTTTGTTTTGTTTTGTTTTTTTTCATAAAAGAATTCAACCCAGCATCTTTTCAGTTCTTTGTTTTTACATTGCTGCATAGACATTCCTAGGGTGGATAAACACCAGGCACTCACACGATTTGTGTTGGATGGAAAACAGGCCTCACTATTCTTGTGCCAAACTGTCAGTTAATGAATCCATGAGGAATTGGGCTAAGTGCTCAGTTAAAGTCTGTGGGTGGGTTGCACGAAACACTTTGAGTAGCTGCTTTAGAAAGTCCTCCTTGATCTGACAGAGCCTCGAAGTTCTGATCTGATGTACGGCTCCTGGGAGCAACCTGAGCGAGCTTTGCTGGGTTCTATGGGGAGTTCTTTGTGGATTTTTCCACCTCAGACTTACAATTAACTGATACAAAGAGGTTAGGGAGAGAAGACAGTATTTTAAGGCTTGTTGTTGTTTGTTTGGCTTTTTTTGTTTTTGTTTTTGAGACATGATTTCGTCTGTGCTAGGCTGTCCTCACACTCTGTGTGTCCAAGGATGACCTTGAACTTCTGATTCTCCTGCCAAACCCTCCTGAGTGCTGGGCTGACAGAGGTGCACTGTCATGCCTGGCTTACGCTGTTCTGGGAGTGATCCCAGGCCTCAGGCTCCTTCAGCCCTGAGCACTTTGTTGAGCTGAGCTGACTTTTGAGTCATAGCAGGGAAGCAGAGCATTGACTCATTCTAGCCTAAGCACTAGGCAAGCACCCTACCAACTACACCCATTCCTAAGAGGGTTATTTTATGGCTGTTTGGCATTTGATCCTCACTGTGTGCTCAGAGACACAAGACAGGGCTTATGACCTTGAGAAAATTAAACACTGTGGGCCAGAGAGGGACCCAGTTCCCCAAAGGAACAGCTACTGTGAGCGTGTGCTGTGCCAGGTCTTCTGTTGCCAGTCTTGATGACATATGGAGCGGGGCTCTCTCCTTTCTGCACAGGCTGACTCGGGCCTGCCTCTCAGCCTTCCTGCAGTGGGTGAAGTTACAGTGATGATGGCTGTCACATCCTGAAGGGCAGTCTTTGGACAGCACAGCTCTGATGGACCGTTCTTAACTCTTCTTATAGTTCCTGGCCAGAAGTCTCAGCAAGGCAGAACTGCCCCACAGCCGGAGGAATGAGGGATAAGGACAGATGCTTAGATTCCTACGAAATAAGTGAGATGGTGTTGGCTAGTACTGGTGATTTTGCTGCTGCCTAATTGGAGCAAAATGTGTGTTTTCTGGAGTCGATAGGCCAGGGTAAACACCTAGAACAGTGTTTCTCAGTTGTGGGTCACGACCCCTTTAGGGGTGAGGTTGGACAACCCTTTCACAGGGCTCGCAAACCAGATAACCTGTACAGCAGATATTTATATAAAGATTAACTATTGTTTTCTGGAGGCAGGGTTTCTCTGTGGCCCTGGCTTCCCTGGAACTTGCTCTGAAGACCAGGCTGGCCTCAAACTCAGAGATTCACCTGCCTCTGCCCCCTGAGTACCGGTATCAAAGGTGTATGCTACACCATCTGGAACATTATGATTCATAACAGTAGCAAAAATCACAGGTAAAGTAGCAACAAAAATAGTTTCATGGTTAGGGGTCACCCCAATATAAAGAACTGTATTAAAAGTTTGCAGTATTAGGAAGATTGAGAACCACTGAGCTACGGGACTGCAAATGCAGATTAGGTACCTTAACAGGACTGAATTGCTCCCTCCTTCCCTTCTCTCTCTCTCTCTCCTCCTCCTCTTCCTCCTTCTCTTTTCTCTTTTTCTCTTTCCTTTACCCCTCCCTCTTTTTTTTTTTTTGGTAGCAAGGTGCCATATAGCCTGGCCTGGCATTGAAATCCACTGTGGGGTGAAGGGTGTCCTTGACTACCTTCTACTCCTGCCTGATCCTTGGAGTTACTGGTTTCCCCCCAGATCCCTGAACTTTGTCTTTCTAATCTGCTTGGAGGTTTCTTCCGTAAGAGGAGGAGCCACTTAGCATGTCATAGGTGGACATGAGATGAAGCTATTGATAACTAAGCACACGGTGAGCTAGGCACTTAATTGAGCAGAGTGGAACTTGTGGTACCCTTTCATTGTTTGTCTCCACATAAAGGAACTTGGATCTGCAAAGATAAAGAGTGTAAATGTTTATATAGAAAGAAGACGGCTCTAGCATGTTTCCTGTAATTGTCCAGCGGAGGCACTTTCATGCCCTTCCTCCTTTGCTTCCTCCTCCTTTCCTCCCTTCTCCCTTCCTTCTGTGATGCTGAGGATAGCTCCTAGGGCTTTGCATATGCTCAGCAAACACTCTACCACTGCGCTGTATACCCAGTTCGTTCTTTTTTAGAAATCATCATTTTATTAAACCCTTAAGATTTTCAAAAATGTGTACAATATATTTTGATCATATTTACTTCACTCCTCCTCCAACTCCTCCTAGAACCAAACCCACAACCCTCTCCCAGCTCCATGTCTGTTTTTTTTAATACCACACCAAGGGGCTGGAGAGATAGCTCAGTGGTTAAGAGCACTGGGTTTGATTCCCAGCACCAACACGGTGTCTTGTAGCTATCTATAACTCTATTCCCTGGGAATCTGATGCACTCTTCTGTCCTTCTCAGGCACCAGACACTCACATGGTATACAGACATACATGTAGATAAAACATCCATCTGCCTTGCTCATGGGATTTGTTCTCTGCACCTGGCATGGTACGTGATACACAGGAAGTGCTTAAGACAGAAGGAACACCCTGCAGGAGAAGAACCTTCACATACACCCCCTCCCAAAAAAAATTAATACTTTAGGAGCTAGAGAGACGACTCAGCGGGTAAGAGGACCGCTGCTCTTGCAGAGGACACAGGTTCAGTTCTTAGCACTCACGTGGTGGCTTGCACCACCTCTAACTCCAGTTCCAATGAATCTGATGCCTTCTTCTGTCCTCCATGGGCATTGCATGCGCACATGCATACTTGTGTGCAGAGAAAGTACTCATATAGAATAAGTAAATAGATTGTGGAGGACAACTCTTTCAGCAAAGTGCTAGTCTCGAAGAGTATTTGCTGGGGAGCCTGTAAATGCTGAATCTCCTCACACATCTTTTTTTTTTTTTTTTAAATAAAAGTCAAGAATCATGTAGCTGTGAGATTGTGAGATGGGAGAAAGTATTTTCATGCTTGTTATTCTGTTTGCTTTCAGGCTGTTCCTGTGTTTTTCATTTTGCATAATGTAGCTGAAGTCCTCATCTGTGGGTACCAGAAGTATGTCTGGAAAGAGGTAAATGATCACCAAGAGAGAGGTATCCTTGCCATTCTCAGATTCCCTGTCACCCCACCTACTCACTGGAGTAGTCAGTCTTCCTCCATGCCTAGTGACACCAACCAGTCCTGTGAACATACTTAGTGTTTACTGACAATGGGCTATAATCTCATATCCATGAAATGGAGAAAGCCCTGGGAGACCGACCTACATTAACCCAACCTTAGAAATGTGCCATCAAAAACCCAACCCCCAGGAATGCTGGTCCTCTCGTCCTCAGCTGCTCCTGCTTCCACTCCTACCCTTGCCCTGACATTTCTCTGGCTGGAGTCCCTGCGTCAGAGGCCACTGTCCAGTTGACTCTTCATTGTTACTCTATCCTATTTGGAATCTCTTGCCGCCTTGGCCTTGATGACCTTCCCTGCCTGGTTCTCTTTTGAGCTTCAGGCTTTCCCCACATAGCCTGCTCTCTTTCTCACCCTCCATCTGCTTTCTCATGCTTTGCTGGGGCAATGTCTCAGGGCCATCTGTCCTCATGGCCACACCTCTGGCTCCAGCCCCCTTCTGCTCGCTCCAGCATTGTAGTCTCCCCAAGCTCAGAACCCCGGGGCCTGCTGTCCTCTGGGTGGCCCGAAAGCATCTGAAGTAGAAAGCTTGGTTTCCCTAGACCTGCCTCCCACTTGGGAGTTCGGGCTTGGTCAGCATCTAGCAGACCCTGTCTTCTTCTGCCCACAATCCTCTTCCCTCCTCTGTGCTCCTCTGCCGTGGCCTTTGTCTCTCTATCAGGGTAGCTGGCCAAGGACTAAGGTAGGAGCTTGCTGTGCAAGTCTCCAGGACAGCCAGGCAGCACCTGCTTCGGTTTCTCTGGGGCTGTCCCAGAGGAGAGTGTGGATGTGGTCACCCCCTAGCACCTCAGCTCCTCTCCACGGGATCAGAGGGGTACGCCTCTCTGCCATTTTATCATGTGATTTCTGTATGCCATCAGTTCTAACACACGATGCTCCCCCCAGCACCCAATTTTAACCACCCAGGATTAGAGCTCTTACAGTCACATGTACTTTGTGTGTTCTCTTTTTTTGAACACAGAAGGTAAAATTTTATGTGGCATCCTTTTGTGTTACTGAGACAGGGTTTCACTATATGGCATAGGCTGGCCGCGAACACCCCTGTCTCAGCCTCATCAGTGCTAGAATTATAGAATATAATTACCAGGCTCTTCTTTTTTGTGTCTTCTTTTGTTTAGTGAGAGACATCATTTTCTGTTTTTTTAGCTGCCTTCCTTTGACCCCCCCCCCAACCCCCTTTCCCAAAGCAGGGCCACAGGCTGAGGCTCTTTATAACCCCAGGCAAAAGCCCCAGGGCTTCTGGTTAGCCAAGTGAAGCTTTAGGCATGGTGGCTTGTGCCTTTAATCCTAGCACTTGGCAACTGGATCAGAGAAGTTCAGGGTCATCCTTGGCCCATATAGAGACAGGTGAGACCCTGTCTCTACCAAAATCGAAACAGCCCCTCTCTACCGTGAATGTGTTAAGATACAAGTGGCTTTAGAAACTGCAAAGGAAGACCCCAGACACTGTCTGCACACGTTCATGGGTGCCCTGACACGGTGCTGCTGCACTGCTGCTGCTGTCGCTGCTCTGTGCTGGCCGAAGAGTGCTGTGTGTGTGCCAGTCCCTAGTTGCTTACATGTATGTATTTTTTCTAACAGTCTTTTCTAGGTTTCTGTTTGTTTGTGTTGATTTTTTTTTTTTTTTTTTTTTTTTGAGTCAGGGTCTTTGCAGCCCTGGCTAGTCTGGACTCATTACGTAGACCAGCACTGGGCTTGAACTTGTAGAGGCCTTCCTGACTCTTCCTCATGAGTATTGGGCCTAGAACACTTGATCCTTGTGCTTCTGCCTCTGTAGTGCTTAGACTCCAGGTCTGTACCATATCATGACACCACCTGCCTACCAGTCTGTCAGTGACAGCCTTCAATTGCTGCTTCCTCTGCCTACCTGAAGTTTCCTTTTTCTTGAGGAAGGTCTCACTCTATAGCTCAGCCTGGCCTGGAACCTGAAATCCCCTTGCCTCTGCCTTCATGCCTGTGCTACCTCCTTTTCTTGGGCATGCTTTCGTTGTTGTTTTTTCAAGACAGGGTTTCTCTGTGTAGCCTTGGCTGTCTGCTTTGTAGACCAGGCTGGCCTCTAACTCACAGAGATCTGCCTGCCACTGCCTCCCTTAGTGCTGGGATTAAAGGTGTGGGCTACCACACCCAACTAGGATATGTTCGTTCTTTCTTTCTTTCTTTCTTTCTTTCTTTCTTTCTTTCTTTCTTTCTTTCTTTCTTTCTTTCTTTCTTTCTTTCTTATTAATTAGAGTTTATTCACTCTGTAGCTGAGCTGTAGCTCCCTCCCTAGTCCCCTCCTAAACCCACCATCCTCCCTCATCTCCACCCTGCCCCTCCCCAAGTCCACTGATAAGGGAGGTCTTCCTCCCTTCCCTCTGATCCTAGTCTGTCAGGTCTCATCAGGTCTGGCTGCATTGTCTTCCTCTGTGGGCTGGTAAGGCCGCTTCCCCCTCAGGGGGAGGTGATCAAAGAGCCAGCCACTGAGTTCATGTCAGAGACAGTCCCTGTTCCTATTACTAGGGTACCCACTTGGACACTGAGCTGCCATGGGCTACATCTGTGCAGGGGTTCTAGGTTATCTCCATGCATGGTCCTTGGTTAGAGTATCAATCTCAGAAAGGACCCCTGTGCTAGGGAATGTTCTTAATGTAACTTACATCTCAGACTTACAGATGAGAGCCTGAAAGGATATATTTTCATGAGGAACCCAGTTGCTCCCTTCCTCACTGTCACTGTTAACAGTGAGGGCCAATGAGGTGGCTCATTGGGTATGGGGCTTATCTCCAAGCTGTACAGCCAAGCTTGGTTCCTGGAACCCACGCTGTGGAAGAAAAGACCTGATTGCCATAAATTGTCCTTGGATCTGCACATGCACGTCCTGACACTAATAATAAATGTAAAATAACGTTATGATAAGGTTTGGCTTTACCATTCTGTATAAATTATGCTGGAGTAAATTCTAGAGAGTAAAATTGACCCTCTCATGATTTCATTTCCAGATTATGAGAATTAACTTGATATAGAGTCTGTAGTTCATTTTTCAACACCCATAGCTCTTTCTATGTGTCTCTCTGTCTCCCTTACCCTCTCCCTCACACACACAGAGTCTGACTATAAAGTAATGGTGGTTTATGGGACCGCCACTGTTGGGTTGTTTTTCAGTATACATTGTTTATACTAAATAGCAAGATCCCTGCCTAAAGCTGAGATGTGGGAGGTGCATTCATGACCCTCATGGAGCTCGGGGCTGAGTGGAGAAGAGCTGACATTCACCTGTGGGCTGTGAGGCCCGTAGGATCAGATGTGGGCTGGAACTGATGTGGGAGGACCATGGGCAAGGCTTTCCAGGGGGATTAGGTTTGGGTTGGGCTAAGTGGGATGGGTGAGGATTTTCCAGCTGGGCAAGAGGAGAAAAGAAACTCAGGTAGGCAGAGGAAGCAGCAATTAAACTTTTGACTTGAGGTCGGAGGCTGTCCCTGAAGGACTGGTTAGCAGGTGGTGGCACTAAAGGGTCAGACTGTGGAACAAGAGTGCTGGTCCCAAACCCTGAGACCTTGGAAAACCTCTTCCCTCATCTCCTTCCTGTCTTACTACCTTTACCTTGGTAAGATAACCGATGGCTGCTGATCCACGGTTATAGTGAACAATAAGGCACACTCTTACAGTGGTACCCAGCCAAAACTAAGCAATACTTGCAGCAAATTAGAGAACCCAGAGTGATTCTTGCCCTATTATAATTTTTGTCACTCTCCCTTTTTCTCCTTTTAAGTAGGGTTCTTTCTCACTGTGTAGTTCTGGCTAGTCTTGAACTTGAAGTCCTTCTGTCTGTCTCCCAAGGGCTGGGATTACAGGGCCCTGCTACTACACTCAGCCAGAATACAACTTCCGAGGAATTGCCTTTTGCAGCCCGAGACCCTGAGATATTCCTGGAACTGCTGACTTTTGTATTAAGGTTCTGAAAATGGGGAAGCTTTACAGTAATGTCTCAGTTGATTTCAGAGTCCTGGGGGAATGGAGTTATATAATGAGCTTTTGTCATGTTCTCACTGTGTTTGTCAGCCTCTTTATTCCAAAAGGGTTTGACATTTTTAAAAGGTCTGGGCATGGTAGCTCATTCTGTAATCCTAGTTCTCAGGAGGCTAAGGCAGGGGGATTATTTTGTGTTCAGGCCAGCCTGAGCTACAAACTATGTTTCACTAAAATACAGTAGCTGGCTATGGTGCTGCACTCCTGAATTTCAGGAGTGGAAGGTGGAGTGAGTTCAAGGCCAGCCTGGGCTACATGAGACCCTGTACCAAACGAAACAAAACAGAATAGTTAAAATGAAATAAAATTAATTTAATTTTAAAATAATCTGCCCTCTGCGAGGCTGAAGTCTTCTAGACCAGGTGGCTTCATTGTTCTGTGTCATAAGCTCTGCAGCAGTTCCTGGGTAGACATGTTATTCATGGCGAGGATAGACCAGCCCTACAACGTCTGCCCTCTGTGCTTGCTCTTCACCAGACTGGTGAGGTTTTCATGACAATTTGTTTCTAATATAGCTTGAAAGACAGCACATTTTACCATAGCAGGGTCAAAGACCAAGGTGCTCTTCCACTAGCGGTCAGCACAGCGTGCTTGCCCTGTTTCCTGTATTCAGAAGATGCCAAAGGTACAACCATAGCTTTGTATCCAAATAGCATCTACTTATTAAAAGAACAAAAACTTGGTTATTTACCAGTATGTGAAAACTTAAGGTATCCTGGAGAACAGACCATACCATATGTTTCTTCTGTCCAGCTTTTTTTTTTTTTTTTTTTTTTAATGGGACCACAGATTTCCCTGGAACCTAACTCTGTAGGCAACACTAGCCTTGAACTCTTGATCTTCCTGCTTTGGGCTCTCGTGTGCCAGGGTGACAGGTGTATGCCACTGTGCTTGGCTTCAGCCCTTTGCTTCTAAGCAACAGACTTATATGTCACATTATTTGAATAGGAGTCAAAACTTGTAGTTTATCCCAGATAGTAAAATGATTCAGAAATATCCAGAATAAATCTGTCATCCTTCCTGTCCATTTCATCTGTAAAACAGAAAGATCTGCACGACCCTATTAAAACACCATTCTTCGGTGCCAACGGTTAATTTACTTGATCTGATTAAAAAGACTTAGTGAGGGAAGAGTCTAGGTTAGAACTTCCTCATTTCAAGACATTTTAAGTGTCAGGTTTATATTCCCCCAACATGCTATTTTCCCCCCCTTCTCTCTGAGGGTAAGATAAAATGGCCCTTATCCCCATTTATACCAGAAAATGTGTAACATTGCGAAGAGTCAGAGCTGGATGGATGACACAGGTGTGCCTGCCTCTAGTTACAGCTACACAGGCTTAGGCAGGAGGATCATTTGAGTTTAGGAGTTCAAAAATAGTCTGGAACACATAGCACGACCAACCCCCACTCAAAAATTACTAAATAGGAGGCAGGAGATATGGCTTAGAGGTTAAGACCATGAACTAGCTAGAGGACCTGGGTTCAGTTCCCAGCACTCACACTGAGTGTCTCACAATCACCTTGTAACTCCAGTTCTAGGAGATCTGGTGTCCTCTTCTGGCCTCTGTGGGCATCTACACACAAGTGGTGCATGTAAAGTCATACAGGCGCACATACACTTTAATAAATCAGTATATAAGTGAACACATACGTAGAGGCTAGAAGTTGAACGAGAGGTTGGTTTCTTTTCCTGTGGCGACCACATTGATTTCTCAATTGGCACTGACATCATCTTGTTCATAAGCACACTGTCCCAGTGTTCAGAGCACTTTGGCAGAGGACTCAGCTGTGGCCCAAGTCATTCTTAGATCCAAGCAGCCGAAGCTGTAGGAGACATTAATACGAGCAAGCTCTCCTTAAAATAAATAAGTAAAAGTTTATTTGTATATGTATTCTACATATGTAGATGTTTTGTCTGCATATATGTACATATGCACACCAGAAGAGGGCTTCAGATCCCACAGACTACAGTTATAGATGGTTATGAGCTACCACGTGGGTACTGGGGGTGGAACTCAGGACCTTTGGAAGAACAGCCACAACTCCTAAACTCAAGTGATCCTCTTTGCTGAATCTCTCCAGGCCCTGGCAATAAGCTCCTAAGCCCCTAAAAGGTTGACTTATAATTTATTTGCTTTTTAATCTAAATGTTTCTGTTCAAGGGAATTAAAGAGTTTAGAAAAACTAATTAATTATATCTCTTTACTTTCATTCAGAAAACATCGTTCACAAAGATCTGTAGGTAAGTTAAAAGAAAACGCTTTGAGGGCATACAATTAAACTTGACTTTAACTTAGCTGATAAACTGAATTTATTATCAACAGTCATATATTTGTACTTTGTTACTTATTTTTTTAATTTTTTTACTGTTTATTTTTATTTTATTTTATTTTTTTAACTTTTATTAGTTACACTTTATTCACTTTGTATCCCCCCATAAACCTTTCCCTCCTCCCCTCCTAATCCTACCTTCCCTCCCCCTTCTTCACATGCCCCTCCCCAAGTCCACTGATAGGGGAGGTTCCCCTCTCCTTCCTTCCTTCTGATCCTAGTCTATCAGATCTCATCAGGAGTGGCTGCATTGTCATCTTCTGTAGCCTGGTAAGGCTGCTCCCCCCTCAGGGGGAGGTGATCAAAAAGCAGGCCAATCAGATTATGTCAGAGGCAGTCCCTCTTCCCATTACTATGGAACCCACTTGGACACTGAACTGCCATGGGTTACATCTGTGCAGAGGTTCTAGGTTATCTCCCTGCCTGGTACTTGGTTGGAGTGTGAGTCTCTGGAAAGACCCCTGTGTTCAAATTTTCTGGTTCTGTTGCTCTCCTTGTGGACCTCCTGTCCTCTCCAGATCTTACTATTTCCCACTTCTTTCATAAGATTCCATGCACTTTGCCCAGCAATTGTTACTTATTTTTAAATGTCACATTTCTACACTGAGTACACAAAACTTCACTAATTGTGCAGTAGTAGTGATGGAGAGCCAAGTGAGAAACATGGAAACGACTTAAAATCTAAAACAAACAAAGAAACAAACAAAAACAAAGCCCCCTGGGGGTGGTGGGGAGATAGCTCAGTTAGTAGTGCTTAACACGGGAGCATGATGCCCCTGTTCAGTGCCAGCTCCCACTTTAAAAGCCCAGTGTGGGGGCTGGAAAGATGGCTCAGAGCTTAAGGGCACTTGCTCTTCCAGAGGACCTGAGTTCATTTCCCAGCAACCACCTGGTGGCTCACAACCACCTATGATGAGATCTGTTGCCCTCTTCTGGTGTACATTTGTACATACAGGCAGAACCTTATATACATACTAAATAAATCTTTAAAAAAAAAAAAAAAGTGTGGTAGCAGATGCTTGTAATTCCAGGATGAGATGTAATGGAGGAGACATGGTTTTGAGACCCTGTCTTAAAAAGACGATCATTCCTGAGGCGTGACCTCTAGTCTCCACATGTATGTTCACACACATGCATGTATACCTCCCCATGTGCACACCTTCATACATGGGTGTGTGTCCACATGCATAGTTAAAATCGTATTTGCGTAATTGGGTGTCTTAGGGTTGCTGTGATTAAACACCACGACCAACAAGCAAGTGGAGGAGGAAAGGGTTTGTGTGGCTTACACTTCCACATCACAGTTTATCACCAGGAAGTTAGAGGAGCTCAAGCAGGGCGGGAACCAGCAGGAGCTGATGCAGAGGCTGGGGAGGGGTGCTGCCTACTAGCCTACTTATTGTGGCCTGCTCAGCCGCTTTGTTTGTTTATTTGTTTGTTTGGTTTAGTTTTTCGAGACAGGGTTTCTTTGTGTAGCCTTGGCAGTCCTGGACTGGCTTTGTAGACCAGGCTGGCCTTGAACTGACTTTGTTCTGCCTGCCTCTGCCTCCCTGATTTTTTTCTTTTTTTTAAGAACCCAGGACAGCCAGCCCAGGGATGGCAACCCCCATGATAGGGTGGACCCTCCTAAATCAATCCCTAATTAAGAAAATGCCCTACAGCAGGATCTTATGGAGGCATTTTCTCAACTGAGGTTTTCTCCTTTCAGAGAAATCTAGCTTGGGTAAAATTGCTATAAACTAGCAAGCACATTGGGTTTCTATGATTCTCTGTGATGGTGAAAGTGCCTCTGAGGGTCTGAATTGTGTTTCTAGGCTATGGTCATAGAGAGGTGTTCAAGTGCCCTGTGCCTCACAGGGGTCCTCAGCAGAGTATGTTCCAGGCCAGGATCTCATGTAGGCCCCTGTACCTCCATGTCCTTATTCTAACAGTATTCAGTTGCTTGAACTGCACTCTCCCTCAGTGGTGACTAAGAGGCTCCATCCTGGAGGCAGAACACTGGCGGAGCTGCCTTGACAGTTAGGTTTAGGTTTTTGTTGTTGTTGCATGTATTTCTGGGCTTCATCTCATCCAATCCCCTTTACCTTCTCTGACTTTTAGTACAGGTTGCAACTTGAAAGAAAAAAAAAATGTAAACAAAATCTTAGGACCCATCGTTTTTAAAAGGATATTAGCTGTTGTGAAAAGCTGCTAAGTGATCTATCAGTAACTACCTTAACTACCTGCTGTAGTCAGTGTGGCTTGAGGGCAGATGCTGTGGGATTCAGTCATCTCACCCCTGCTGGCCCTGTGCTGCTCATGCCCTGTGTGTGGAAGCATTGTGGATTCTAGCTGGCCCTCCTCTCAAGGAAGCCCCCAAGCCTGTCCAGATTCTCCCCCTCCCCTCCAAAACCAGCCTGCTGCTGTGCTGGTCCAGGAACCCCCCCACTCCCCCCCCCCCCCCCCCCCCCCGCCTTCATTATCCTCTGTAACACTGTGAAGTCACCATGGCTGTCAGAGGAGGGTAGACTGAGCGCAGAGGCTTCTGGACCACAGCCCAGCCCATGCTCTTCTTCCCAAAGCTAGTGCCCAGCCATGTACGTCTGGGCACAGTATCCAGCCACAGGTTGCAGCAGGGAGGACATTGGAATGGGTCAGCATCACTGTTTCCAGTATACTGAGTTTGCGAGTCGCAGGCTGTTGTATATTACATTGGCGTGATTATTTGTACATGTATGTGTTGATGTGACCTATATATAGAATATAAAATTCTGTACATAAGTTATATATGTTGGTGGAAGATGCCTTATCCTACCATATATAAAAACATACTGAAAGCCAAATGTGGTGACATAGAAAGCCCTATACTACCAACTTCTCAGAAGGCTGAGGCATGAGAATTGCAAATTCAAAGCCAGCTGGGCAAGGCCCTGAGATCCTGTCTCAAGATAAAAAGTAAAACCAGGACTGGGATAACTCAGTGGTAGAGCCTTTGCTTAGCATGCATGACACCATAGGGTCAGCTCCCATTACAGAAATAGATAGATAGATAGATAGATAGATAGATAGATAGATAGATAGATAGACAGACAGATAGATAAATAGAAAAATTTCGCGTGACTGTACTGCGTGCTGCCCTTTGTGACTCTGATCCTCTCCCACTTGCCAGCTGAGGTAACAAATGGTCAGGATGGTCAGCAGTCCAGGGCTGCGCTGCACATGTTGATGTCTTTATAAAATGGCCAGCAGAGAGGGACCAAGCTCTTTTGGGGTTTGTGTTTTTTGGTGCTTTTTTTTTTTTTAAAGGAGAAAATTGTTGGAGAAAGCCCGAAGTAAGGTCGTTCTGTGTATGAAATCTAGAAGAAAAATACAAAAAATCAGGGGTCCTAACAACACCAGATAGACTCAGAAAAGAGAGCTCTGAAAATACCGGTGATTGGCTGTGTTGGGTTTTATTGGTGGTGGTGGTGGTTTTTGTTTTTTTCGAGACAGGGTTTTTCTATGTAGCCCTGGCTGTCTTGGAACTTAGTATGTAGACCAGGCTGGCCTCAAACTTAGAAATATAAGGTTTCCAAGTTGAGAGAGGAAAAAAAAAAAAAGAGGTTTTTCTTTAAAAGCTTTTTATCTAGAAAGTAAAGCTTAAGCTAGATGGGTTGGCGAGATGGCTCAGAAGTTAAGAACACTTGCTGCTTTTCTAGAGGACCAGAGTACAATTCCCAGTACCCATGGTAGCTCACAACTGTCTGTAACTTTATTTTGGAAGTATCTGATGCTCTCATACAGACACACATAGAGGCAAAACACCAATGCACGTAAATAAAAACAAATATTTTTTTTTAAAAGACACTATTTAAAAAAAGATTAAGCAAGAATCTTACTGTGGATTTCTACATTTATCCATTTCTACCTTTTTTGTATTTGCCCCCTCTCTTTCTTCCCTCTCATTTACATATATGAATCCATGTATATAAATATATAACTTAGTGTATGTAAGAATATATACGTATGTATATTAATTATTACCCATCATATTTTTTCTGATGCTCTTGAGAATCCATGACCCTGTTTTTAAATACTGTATGTGTCTCTTAATATCAACCATCCTGACATAACCAAGACACAATTACATGCTCTTATCTGATACTGAGCCTGTGTTTAAGATTCATCAGTATCACATTTTGTCTTTTATAGCATTTTCCCCTCCAGGATGGCGTGTGTCTTCAATATCCTTTAATTTTAGTCAGTAGTTCAATCTTTCTCTTTGTTTGTTTGTTATTCTATTAATTTATTTTTATTTGCCTTTCCATTAAAAGTGTTGGTTTTCTTTTTGTTTATTTATTTGTTTCTTTTGAGACAGGGTTTCTCTGTGCAGCCTTGGCTGTCCTGGACTCACTTTGTAGACTAGCCTGGCCTTGAACGCACAGAGATCAACCTGGCTCTGCCCCCCATTTGCTGTGATTAAAGGGTGTGTGTGTGTGTACGTGTGTGTACAATGTGTGGTCAAAGGACAGCTTCCTGGGATTCTTTCCTTCCACCATGTGTGGCCCAGGAAGTAAACTCAGGTCATCAGGCTTGGCAACAAGTGCCTTTGCCCCCTGAGACAGCCTGGTCTCCACATTTTTGAAGGTTGGGGCCTGTTGTGAACTGTGTGTACGTTTGGGTTTAACATATTATTTGCACATGCTACAGTTCAAGCACCTAAGGCAGGGCCAGCACAGGCTTGATACTGAACAGTGTGTGCTGTCAAGAAGCACACGAAGAGCTATTGGAGATACTGAGGTCTGTTATTTAGACAGTGGAGGGCAGCAGCATAAGGTACTCTCCATGCCAGGTTCATCAGTGACTGACACGGCAGTGATCCAGGCTCCCATCTGCCTCCTTCATGTCTGAGGAGACTGATGAGGAACAGACATGTAGGGTGAGCCAGCTCTAGTTTTCAGGTAGCCTGTGAGTGCCAGGCTTTAGGAAGCAGCCAGCTGAGCCACAGAGGAGCCGCCTGACTGTCAGCTGAGCATAGAACTGTGAGATTTAGGTAGCAGGCTCCCAGAGACAGCCAGGCACACTGGCTGCTTGTAGAGTCGCGTGGCCGCTTGCAGATTCCGGAGGGTGTGGTTCTGCCTCCGCACACACTGAGACATGCTCTGATGTTGGACGCTGAGGTTGCCTGTTTGATCTGCCTCTCCACAGTGCCCTCTTCCTCTTGGCTGCTGCAGGGTGCTTTCCCTTCCAGGACTCTCAGGTAAGTCCAGGAGAACTCATAGTACCTTCAGAGACCCCTTGACTTTCTGAAGCTCACATAGATGTGCAGTTTCTATGCCTTTCTTTTAGAACCAGAATAGCCTGGCCTAACAAAATGGTCAAAAGCTATCAGACTGGTTGCCTTGTGGCTCAGCCTGTCATTTCTCCAGGCCTTCAAACAGTGGCTCCTGGAGGCCTGCAGTCTGACCTGTGTAAGTACATGGGGAACCTAGGATCCCACACCTAAGTCACCACAGCCTTGGGCATTGAACCAGGGCTGATTTTCCTTTTAATTCTAAGCTGTCCTCATCTGCAGAGGGTTTCACTGAGGTCTTTTGCCCAGATAGAGTTTATCTGATGAGGGCCCCTTTCAGCCCTAGAAATCATCTCACCACTATCTTTTCTTTCTTAACTTTCCCCCTTCCTTTTGTAGTATTCTTTAGACTCTACCAAGTGTTAGGCACTGAGATAAGTTCCAAGAAAACAATAGTCTGTTCTAGCAGAAATTGGAAACCATTTAGTGCAAAGGGGAAGGAAACAGACCCAGGCAATGGATCATTATGGCACAGGGAGGCCAGAGCTCTGCCCAGGGAGACAGCAAGGCTGGGAAGCATTGAGAGGGCTCAGAGACCCCAAAAAGAGCAGTAACAACAGTTATAGTGGAGTCTGTGACAGTGCTTTGTGTATTTTGCCTTATTTTAAATTCTCACAACATGGGCCAGGGAGGTGGCTCATTGCATAGGTGCTTGAGGATCAGAGTTTAGGTTTTCCGGTGGCCAAGTTAAAAAAAAGAAAAAAAAAATAAGCTGGGTGTAGTTCAAGCTCATAATCCTAGTGCAGAGAAAATCTCAGGGGCTTCTAGCTTCAGGCTTAATGAGAGACCCTGTGTCAAAAATAAGGTGGGGAACCAATGGAGGAATACACCTGCTGTCCATCTTCACATACACCTCTAGGCTGTGTGGCTGCACACATACACACGTGCACACATATACATGAACACACACGAAAGAAAAGAGTCGAAACAATTTTGAAAGGGTGGTGCTGTTTTTAATATCTACTTTATAATTAGAGAGTCAGTGTGGTCCAGATCTTTGTGATGCTGGAGCAGAACTCTGTGAGGAGGACTTGACTAGGACAGAAAGCAGTGATTTACACTGGGCGAGCCGTGACTATCCTGTGACTGTCACATCTGTGGTGTATCTACTCTGTTCCAATCCCTGCCTTCCTGCAGTTTATAATTTAGTGAAAGTGAATGCAGAGAGAGATGGGGGGGGGGGGAGAGGCTAAGGAAACTATGGAGTGGTGACAGTAAGTTATGTGGAGAATAACAGGAGAAAAGGGAAGTCAGCGTTGAAGGGGGCAGAAGAGACCACTTGCCTAGCATGTACAGCGAGCTCCAGCACTGCAAAAGTAAATTAATAAAAAGGTCAGAGGAAAGAGGTAGTCCGTCTGGCTGAGTTGAAGGGGATGCAGTCACGCTCGGCAAAGTGTGGGACATCCTTGTACTTTGGGTTGGCTGTAGATGGGACTGAAGATGTTGATAAGTGCGTATCATGTCCTGGAATTTTAGGAAGTCCCTTAATGGTCACCAGATGATACTGGGGAAATCTGGGTTTCCTCTGGGGTTTCTTAGTCTTATTAATAGAAAAAATTAAGCGTGAACTCAAATAGAAGCTAGAGGACAATTTTATTAGAGTTTAAAAGGACACCGCCACCACAGGATGAGCAAGCTGTAAACCTCAGCAGCTGGAGAGAATACTGGAGGAAGGGCGGAGAGCTATGCTCTTTACGTTAAGCTGGCTGGTGTGGAGGTCAGCCACAGGGTGGCAGGCAGTCACCATGGCGAGGAGGACCAGAGCTGTAGAGAAAGAATTAGGAAACCCAGACTATCAGAAAAAGCATATATAGGTTCTGGCCAACATTTAGAAGAAAGATAGAAAATTTGCATCTTTCTGAGCTAGAAAGGTTGACATTGCTGAGCCCCCTTGCAGCCCATAGGGACAGTTCTGGGAGTAGGAATACTGGAAAGGAAAAGTACATTATCTTGTTAAAGGGGTTAGCATTCTACCTGTCTCCTTAGCATGGTTTAAGGTAAACCGGCCTTCCTGGAGTGGCCCTGCCTTCCTGTTTCCTGGCCAGCTCGTGGACTCACCAGCTGGATTACCTGTCAGGGGAGGAGACAATGGCGTGTCACCACCTAGAGAGAGACTCCATTTCTCACCATAACAGACACATAGGGCTTTGGATGTCACAGAGTTGCATTTGAACACACTTAGGGTGGTGGTGGAGCGGGATACTGGAGAACACAGGAAGGCACTTGGGGCCACTGGGTGTGAAGGGAGCTGATTCTAGGCCTCGGGAGGGTTGCCCTGGAGCCTCCAGCTGTGGTCAGCACCTGGTTTCTGGTTGCTGAACAAACTGAGGTTTGTGTCTAACAGCCTTTCCTTAATCCTGTGTTACAGCTCGATCCAGATGGATATTTCTGGGCTGTAATTCATGTATTTTGTGTAGGTAAGTTTTAAAAAGTGTTTGCTTAAGTAATTAATTGAGGACTATTATTAAACTCTTAATGTACATCCAGTTTCTTAGTGATCCTAGACAACAGGAAAATTAAGATACTAAGAGTAAAGTTAAATGGATATTTTTCATATTTTTTTCTACTTTGCACTTTGTCTTAAGTATTTCTCATTTCCAACATAATTTCTCTTTTGTGCCAAACTGTCCTCGGTTTGGGTTTTATTTGCAGTGCTGGTTGGGTGGGTTCAGAAATGGTGGGTTCACTGTTTGCGGGTTTGGGGGCTTGTCAATAAAGAAACTGCTGACATGACCACTCCACTAGGGACAGGGTTTTTATTGTGGGTTAGAAGAAGAAAATATCCAGAGGCATCTGGAAGAGTCCAGAGCAGAGACAAAGGAAAACAGGCTGTCCATGGCCAGGGCTGGGGAAGCGGGAGAAGACACTGAAGAGAGCGAGTGTGGCAGAGAAGGCGAACAATAATGCCAGAGAGGTGGAGAAAGCACGGGGGGGGGGGGGGGGGGGGAAAGAAGGAGAAAAAAAAAAAAAAGGGGGGGGGGGGGGGGGGGGGGGGGGGGGGGCGAGTAGACAAGTAGACAAGAATTATAAAGAATTATAAAGAGGATGAG